TTCATTGCCCTGAGCTGGGATCCAGCAGAGGGAGTTCCACATTAACCTAAAATGTGATTTCAAATCTCTGATATTACTTTAACATTCAGGTATCCATATAAACATTACTTCCTCAGAGAAGCCCTCCTAAACCCCTCAACTATTCTGTTATAAGCCCTTTTTGCACCCTGTAATTCTTCTTCAACACACTAACCACAACTCTAGTAAGTTACCTTTTTAATATCTGTCTATTCCATTGCGCTATAAGCACTGTGATGTCAAAAATACATCTTGTGACAAAGACTCTCTCCTTGATCAAACTCTAGCCAGGCTCCTCTGAGCCTCCTTCTCAACTAGGCCTCAACCTTGGCCTATAACAAGGACAGAGTCTGAACACAGATGATTTTATACATCTACCTCCCTTTACATTAAAGACTTAAACATTGACAGTTTTTAACAGCTCAAGGCTGCACTGGTAGGATGACCCCAGCCCCCCTTAAGTATCTGCTGGAGGAAGCTCACGGCTATCCAAAGAACTTACTGTTTATCATAGCTAACACCTAACCGTCCGCCCCTAACCACCCTCTCTTAGTGAGTTTAGGCTTACAATTATAAATCCTTTCTCTCTCCCTTTGAGATGTATGTGTATCTCCTACAAATCAAGAGTGTCTTTCCCAAGGACCGAAAGCCCTTCCTTTACAATGTAATCATCAGGAAGGATAGGGCCTCTGCCTCCCAACCTCTGTGAGGATAGAATCCTCACTCTGATACTTGCCAGCCACAGACACAGCTCTAGCATTTTCAGCATTTACGCTGATCACTCCTTTGTAATTTTGCACTTCCCTGACTCTGTTTAAAATGCCCAGTCATTCAGTGCAAATCAAAGTTGAATCCATTCATGCTGGACCCTCTCTCCTATTGCAACAGTACGTTACTGATTAAGATCTGTCCTTACCACTTTAACTGGTGTCTGGTTTTGGTTCTCTTTGATACTTGCTCATTATAGCATGCCTAGACCCTAGCATGGTGCCTGGCACATAGTAGATGCTCAATATATACTTCCTGAACTAAAAGACTGTCGACTAAAATTATCCATTTGTTCTAGTTATCTATTGCTGAGTAGCGGACCATCCCAAAACTTCATGGTATGAAATGCCAACTACCTTATCATACTCATGGATTCTGTGGGTCAAGAATTCAAAAAGGGCATCTCTTTTCTCCACCCCATGACATCTGGGGCCACAGATGAGGTGACCTGGATGGCTGGGGTGACTTGAATGGCTAGGGTGGAGCCACTTCAAGATGGCTTCTTCACTTACCTGTCTGATGCCTGGGCTGACTGGGCCGGCAGAGGTTTGGGCGCAGCTTGCACTGTGGACAAGATATCCTACCTGGGACTTCGCCAGCATGACGATACCAAGATAGTCACATTTCTTCCCTGGAAGCTCAGGGCTCCAAGAACAGGGATCCTGTAAACAAGATGGAAGCTTCGTGGCTTCTTATTCCTAGCCAGTGAAGTCACAGAGCTTCCTTTCTGCCATCATCTAATGGTTGAAGCAGTTACAGGTCTGCCCCTATTCAAGGCAAGGGAGTATCCAATAATTTGCAGCCTTGTTTTAAATCCACCACACTATCAGGGCCAGATTTGGGGAGAATTCTTGGGCAATTTATCCTGCGTATCACTTAGGATTATATTTGGCTGCATAGGACAGAAAACCATAGGAACAGTGGTGCAAACAAGACAGAAGCTTATTTCTCCCTCACATAAGCAAAGCCTGGATGGAGTCCATCAGGACTGGTTCAGTGTCTAGAGTGTACGGACCTGGGTCCTGCTGCCTTGTTGTGTCCCCAGCCTCAGTGCGTGCCTTTTACCTCATGACCCGAGGTGGTTGCTTGAGCTCTAGTCTTCATATCCACCGTCCAGCCGGCAGGAAGAAGGAAGGGTAAGGAAGTTTCCTTTAAGGACATTCCTCAGAAGCGCTGTCTGACAACCCCACTTACAGCCCGTTGGCTGCACACTCAAGTCATATGGCCATGCCTAGCCGCAAAGGAGGCTGGGGATTCTAGTCTTTAGAATGGCTGGTCTTTAGACCATGGGCCCAGAGGAACAAACAAGCAAAAACTCAGGGTTCTACTCTTAAGGAAGGAGAGGCGAATGGATGTTGGCAGACATCCACTGGTGTCAGCCACACCTTTTTACACCATTTTATTTCCTGTTCTGCCACTGACCTGCTGTGGGCTTGGACAACATACTTTCTTTGGTTGTTGTTACCAGTTTCTCTGGTCATTAGGGAGGAGGGTGCTATAATCTAAGAAGGAAGCTCAAAGTATTAAGCAGATAAAAGTGTCAGTGCTCTGTTTTTAGGGAAGGGAACTGGGGCCCCACCCAGCCAGCCTCTTTTTACTTTCCTGGGTGGTCCCTTGGGGTTTCTGGGAGCAGATTTTTGAAAACTCCCATATTGGGTTACCACTGATTGCCTTCTAGCAACAAGACCTCAAGAATTCATGTTCATTACATTTTGGGAGTAACTCCTCCCTGCACTTAACCAGGTTGTGCCTTCCATCAGATACCTCCCCAGTGAGTTCAAACAGATGCCACCAGAAGGCAGCGTGAGACACAAAGCCAGCTATTAATTGAGTACTTTCTGTGTGTCTGACACCATACTAAGCTCTGCGATCATGAAGTCACCACAGCTCATATTCTAAGTCCCTTACATTTTTTTTGTTGTTGTTACAAGGCTAGGGTAAATTAAGCACGATCCAATGCACCAAGCATTTTAACAAAGTATGATGGTGTTATGGAGTGAATTGAGCCCCTGCAACAAGATATGTTGAAGTCCTAATCCTTGGTACCTATGAATGTGAATTTCCTTATTTGGAAATAGGGTCTTCACAGACATAATCAAGTTAAGATGAGGTCATTAGAGTGGGCCCAAATCCAATTTGACTGGTGTCCTTAGAAGAAGAGTAGGAAGAGACACAGAGACAGACACAGATGCACATCAGAAGAATGACAATGGGGGCAGAGATTGGAGTGATGTGTGCATAAGCCAAGCAATGGCAGGATTTCAAGCAACACCAGAAACTGAGAGAAAAGTATGGAATGGATGCCCCCCTAGAGCCTTCTGAGAAAGCATAGCCTTGCTGATAGGACTAATTGATTTTGGATTTCTAGCCTCCAGAACTGAGAGGGAATACATTTCTATTGTTTTCAGCCACCCAGATTGTAGTACTCTCTTATGGCAGCCCTAGGAAACGAATAGAGATGGTCAGTTTGATGTGTCAGCTTATCTAGGTTTTAATCCCTAGTGTATTCAATCAAACACTTAGGTTTTGCCATGAAGATATTTTGTAGATATAACGTCTATAATTAGTTGACTTTAACTAATGGAGATTTAGCTAGGTGGGCCTGATTCAATCAGTTGAAAGTCTTTAAGAGCAGAACTGAGGTTGCCTTAAGAAAGAAGAAATTCTGCCTGTGAACTGTAGCTTCAGCTCACGCCAGAGAGTTTCAGCCTTCCCTTCCTGATGGCCTACCCTAAAGATTTTGGACTTGCTTAACCAGCCCCTGCAATTGTGTAGATCAATTCCTTGCCATAAATCTCTTAATATATTTCCTGGTTCTTTTTCTCTGGTGGAACCCTAACTAATACACAAAAGGATGATGCAATCTTGAAATGCATTTGCCTAAAGGGCCGTGGAGTTGCCCAAGGCTTCACAGAAGAGGTGGCTTTGGCAGGGCCTTGAAGGGTAGAGAGGGGTTTGCCAGGTGGGGCAGGGCCTTTCCAGCAGGGAGAACACCATATGCAAAGGTTTGGAATGGTGAGACCCCTCGCCCCTCCGCCCTAGTGGCATGGGGGTAGGCCTTGGAGTCACATTCTGAGGACCTCTTCCTGTCAAGTTGGGCACTTGAGCGTTGGTGCTGGAGGCCAGGCCTTTTTTTTTTTTTTTAATTTCTCTTAGTTCTGTCTTTTTATTTATTTTTTATGTTTTGAATTGAGATATAACTTTCATAAGTCAAGTGCATATTTTTAAAAGAAGAACATGATGATTTTTTACTTATGTATCCATGTAATCCACACTGAGATCAAACATGGAATCAAGGCTGGGATAAGGGTGAGTGAGGTCAGTGACTTGAGCTGTGCAAGCACAGGGTCAGATTCTGCCTTTATTTAAAAATTTGGTGTTTTGTTCAGGGATTTTTTGCTCTCATTTTGATTTTTAAAAGTATTATTTATTTTTGATCACTGATTTTGTTTTGTTTTGCCCATCCTATAATTTTCTGCCTTGGAGACAGCCTCATGCCTCACTTTAGTCTTGACCCTGTTAAATATTTCCAGCACCCCCACTGGCTCCTTCATTTCTTCAGTCCCCTCAAAGGAAACCTCTAGCCAAGGTCAGGGGAATGGATGGCCTGGGTGTGTGCGATCATATTACGGGTGCTTATGCATGTGTTTCTCTTGGGAGGGGGATTCATTCCTTTGATCAGTTATTGGAGTCCTTTGGAAAGTGAGGACTAAGAAATGCAGAGATTGACTAACAGGGAGCCAGAGGAAGGTTTGTTATTCAAGGGATCTAAACAGTATTACGTCTTTGGTAGGCCTGCAGGCCTCAGTGACACAGTCTGGTGTATATTAGCCTCACTGTGCCTCAGTCCCCGCATCTGTAAAATGGAGTTGATAATCACTACCCCTGTTACTGGACTGCTTAAGAGTCCCATGAGATAAGGGAGTAAAATTCATAGCACCCTACAGGGCGCACTCAGCCAGTATTCACTGAGGGCTACGATGTGCCAGGCGCTGAGCTGAGGGCTTTACGGCCGTCACCTTGTTCATAATGCACACAGCCCAACGAGGAAGGTGCGAGTTCCAGCAAGCCCGCGGCGGAGGCGGGGGCCAGCGAAGACCAGCCACACTTCGCGACGTGGGGGCCGCGCTCCTGCGGGCGGGGTGGGCGGGAAAGGGGCGGTGCGCAGGTGGGGCGGGCCGGGGGCGGGGCGGCGCGGCGCGGCGGTTCCGGGATCCGGGTCCGGGTCTGCGCCGCCGCCTCCGGGCGAGCAGAGCGCTGGCCCCAGCTGGCGGGTGCATGTGGGGGCGCGCGGCTTGGAGGCGCTGCCCGCGGGGGCTGCGGCGCAGCCGCGAGGCGCTGCTGACGCTGCTGGCCTTGCTAGCGTTGGCCGGGCTGGGCTCTGTGCTGCGGGAGCGGCGCGGGGCCAGGGCGGCTGAGCCAGGACCCCTGCGCACCCCGCGCCTGGGGCGGCGCGACCCGGTCCTGCCGCGGCCGCCGGTACCCGGCGACGCTCTGGGCGCGCGGGGCGAGGCGGTGCAGCTGCAGCTGCAGGACGAGGAGCTGCGGCTGCAGGAGGAGAGCGTGCAGCTGCACCAGATCAACATCTACCTTAGCGACCGCATCTCGCTGCACCGCCGCCTGCCCGAGCGCTGGAACCCGCTGTGAGTCCGCAGGTGGCGGGGGCGGGGGGCAGGGAACACTTACCGCGGGGTCCCGGGGCCTCAGTTTCTGCATCTGTGAAGTGGCGGGGTGGAACCGGGGTCTCGAAATACCTGGGGATCGCGCATCTTACTGAGTCTTTCTCGGAAGTGGGCAGTGGAAGGGGTCATATGGGATGGGGGGACGCAAGAAAGTTTTAAAAAAATGAAAATAGGAAAAAAAAACTCAGAAATTGACGAATCTTTTACTGGGTGGTCTCTTGTCTCCTTACCTCTTGAGAAGGTCTGTCATTCAGCTCTAAAAAAGTGGCGGGAAGGTGGGGGCTAAGCAGACGGGTGTAAGATGAGACAGGTGTAAGATGAGACCCTCTTTGGGTGCTCTTCCTGGTTTCACAGCACCCCCAGTCCAGCTCTGCCAGTACGGACTTACCTTGGTGAAACTAAGAACTCTTAGGTTTCGAGGTAGGCTCCACTTTCACTTATCTGTATGCCAGGCCCTTGAATGAACCAGGAGGGGAGGGCGCTCCAGCAGGAGAGGTAAAGGTCACCGGAAGGCCAAGTCCGAGTTTTCCCCCTCACTGGGAGCTGGATTCCTGAGCATTAGGTAGAGGAAGGCAGGAACGAGGTGGTGGGAAAGGCTCCTTCTGGCCGAGGTCCAGCTGGGCTCACTCCTGTGAATGGTGCAGGCCCTGAGCCCTTGTGGTCAGAGGCCTAATTCCTCTGAGAGCTGCTGGCTGGGTGGGTTGTGGCCCCCCCTCCCCCGCCTAAGTGGGGGAAGGGAACAAGCTGGTAAGATGACAGACCTCCTGGCCTTCTTTCTCCTTCCCTCCGTTGGTGGGGATCTTCCAGGTCCCCGCTTGAGCCCCGTTCTTAAAGACTTTGAGGAAACGAGGACTGCGGGGAGGGGGGGAGGCGGGAATAGCTAGTGGGGCCGCCTCCTGTGTTCACTGAGCACCTGCTGCTCCTCCTGGTTCCCTGGCATGCCTGCTTTAGAGGTGTGGCAAAGGTCTCAGGGAGGACAGTGACTCACCTAAGGCCCCACAGCTGGAAAGAGGTGGAACTGGCTGGGGGGGATGGGACCCTCCTGGCCCCCTAGGCATTGTGCTGATTTCAGGATTTGGGGAGCGGTGAATCCTTGGCTAGGGAAAGCATGAATACCTGCTCCAGGAGTTGCTCCCCACCCCCTTTTGGCAGAGCTGGGAAGGACTTGGGCTTCACGGTGCTCCCTATTTTCCTGTGTCTGTTCATGTCTAGCCTCATGCTTTTGTCTGAGGCATTTTCACTGTTACTACACTGCCTACTCTTTTTGAGTAGAACTTTGTTAGTGTTGGTAGCAGTTTCCTCCGCTTTCCCTATCTGCAAAATAAGGAATGAGTAAAAAATAACACAGCTTAGGAATTCATAAAACATCGAACACACCGTGCACTCAATTCTTCCTAGTTTTCCCCCCTTCCCTGTTGCCAACGAGGTACTCAGGAGGTCGCTTTTAAGAGTCATCCAGGGATTGGTTGTAAAGTGTTTCTTTTCCGGGTTCCAGCTTCCTTTATTGTCCCAGGTTGAGAAATCTCTTTCAGACACAGTGGATAACCTGTGGGCGTATGGTTTCCCGTCTCCATGGTGACACAGCTGCCCTGTGTGCTATCAGGATTTGTTTATAGATCCTGCTGTTGCATTGACTCTGGGAAGTTAATCCAAACCCAGCATGATAAAAAGTATGAATGCCTCCTGCCTTTAATTCCTGCAGCAAGGCCTGTTGGATTATTGTTGCCTAGCTGGAGAGAAGGGTGAGCTTGATCTGTGTTGCTCTCAGCCAGGCCAGGCAGTGAGGCATAACTTCAGTGTGGCCCGTAAGGTCAGGGCCTTTTATGGAGACTCACTTTTTTTTTTTTTTTAAGATTTTATTTACTTTTTTGACAGAGATAGAGAGCACAAGTAGGCAGAGCAGCAGGTAGAGGGAGAGGGAGAAGCAGGCTCTGCTGAGCAGGGAGCCTGATATGGGGCTCAATCCCAGGACACTGGGACCATGACCTGAGCCGAAGGCAGATGTCCAACCACCTGAGCCACCCAGACGTCCTGAGACTCACTTTTATTATAGTTCATACAAAGGTGAGCACCTAATCAGGGTCTGCGGTTTTAGCCTGAGAAATCAGAATGACAGAATATAAATTTATAATTGGAGTGGCGGTGCATGTGGGGGAGTCCCTTGGGACTTTAACTGATAAGCAGAGGGATGGTTAAGATCCTTGAATGTCAGAAAGGGAAAGGCCCTGAGGGAGATCCAGTCTAACCAGAGAGTAAAAGCTGTGCCCCGTGCCCCCAAAGTAACATGTAGATCCGGGACAGAGCTGATCTAAAACCCAGATCTTTTCTTCCCTCCTCCCTTTTGGGATACAGGCAATGATTTATCTATTTATTTTAATTATAAAAGCAATACATGTTCACTCTAGAAATTTTGGCATATACAGAGAGGCAAAATAAATAAATAAAAATCATCTATAAACCTACTGCCCCAGGAGAACCACTGTTAACATTTTGCTGTGTATCCTTTTAGACTTTTCCAGGTATAGAAATAGATTTTGAAAAATACATGTATGGGTATGTAAATGAGAATCTATTCAAACATGGGTTATGTACATAGGTTCACAGGCATTTTTTTTTAATTTTTTATTGTTATGTTAATCACCATATATTACATCATTAGTTTTTGATGCAGTGTTCCATGATTCATTGTTTGTTCATAACACCCAGTGCTCCATGCAGAACGTGCCCTCCTCAATACCCATCACCAGGCTAACCCATCCCCCTACCCCCCTCCCCTCTAGAACCCTCAGTTTGTTTTTCAGAGTCCATCATCTCTCATGGTTCGTCTCCCCCTCTGACATACTCCCCTTTTCTTCCTCTCCTGTTATCTTCTTCTTTTCCTTTTTTCTTAAAATATGTTGCGTTATTTGTTTCAGAAGTACAGATCTGTGATTCAACAGTCTTGCAGAATTCACAGCGCTCACCGTAGCACATACCCTCCCCAATGTCTATCACCCAGCCA